TTCCTACATGATGCCGACCAGCTTTAATGCCAGCATTCCCCAAGGGACCTCCAGTAGTTCATTCTCTCTTTTGTAACTCTTGATTCTCATTCAGATTTGCATCTGATCTGTGAAGTACTGGGCACACAGAACTTTAACTAAACCCACCTGCTACTTTGCATGCAGTATTTTAGAAAAAAAAAAAAAAAAAAAAAAAAAGAATTTCACAGCGAGCAGCTACAATACACAGAAAGTGCTTCTGTTTCTCTTTTTCCTTGCACTTTCCGTATGTTGGCTTCCACTCTAATTTGGGAATATCCCCAGATTATTCATGTGCGGCTCTAGTGAGAATTAGGCATTTGTGAAGCACGCTTACGCTACGGTGAGAAGTGCCACATAAAATCCCATCAGTAAATTAAATTCTGTCATCTAGGTAAGGTCCACATAGCATGCAACAAACAYTGCCACTTATTAAACAATAAGTAAGTTTTAATACACGTTGATACAGAAAGAGTAGTCCATCTCATGGGTATCTTTAAGTCTGTTCATACAGGGTGTTTCTAAAGGCATGTGCATAAGGGACCTGAATTGGGGTAGTAGAAGCAGCCTTAATTCTGGCATTTCACATCTTACAGTTGACTTTCCAAGCCTGGGCTCTTTCATCTTGATTTAAACCAAGAGCAACACAAACCTGGCCTGCTAAAGAGGAAAAACAGCCACCACAAACCATCATATTGACATCCTTACTGCTCATTAGCCTAGTTGAAACCAGTAGCAGTGGATAAATCCCTGCTGCCTGGATGGAAGTAATAGAATAATAATAATAGCAGTAGGTAGTCATCTCTTACACTGAACATTAATAAAAGGGGATGAAATGCAGGTTTTGCCAGGAAATGGCCGAGAGATGGAACCTCTCCAAGGAGTAGGGCCAAACCACATAGTCATTACTATGAGAAGGAATTAATAACTCTGCTATTTTAGGTACAATATATGCATCTCAATCTGGCGCGGCTCACGCGCCGGGGTGACAGGACGACCGTTTCGTGGTCCTTCCCACYGCCCCCCAACATCCCGGGAAGCAGTGACAGAACCTGGGGGTTCTGGGCTCCATCCAAGATCCAGGGGGCAGCTCTGGGCCCGGACGGACACTCTGAGCRTCTCCTCAGCCTCCTTCTTTCTTTCCTGCTCCCTTCCACGTTCGCAACCTCCRCCCATCTCCGCTCCTCCTGCTCGGCCTCCGTGACCAGGCAGCGCCACATTCCCTAGCTCTGCCCTCGCAAGCTGCCAGTCTTGCTCCCGGATCCGTGTTCCCTTCCACAGGAACAGCTCCACGCTCCCATATCAAAGGCCGTTCCCAAACCCTCCCCTTTCCCTCCTGCTCTGCTCGAGCTCTTCACGCAGCCCTGTCATTCTTGCCTTTAGCTGGCTCTCCGTTCCGCCCTACTTCCCCAGCTGCTTCGAGGCTCCGTTTTTAGTACCTCTTTCTCTGCCCCTCTCTTTCTCACCCCTTATGCCCTTGCCCCAGGTTCACCTGCTATTTTGCCCTGATTTTCCCCCGCTYCCCTTCCACGCCGGTCCTTTGGCAGCAGAATCAGGTGTTTGCTCTCCCCGAACACCCTCTGAAGAGCAAAGAGGTAATTGTCGAAGAGAGTTCACCACACTAGCTCTCCAGGGACGCAGGAGTAATTCAAGGAATTGGAACATTTCACATTATTAAAAGAAGAGGGGAAAAAAAAAGGGTATTGCCTGCCAGCCTCATACAGAGAAACATATAGACAGGAATCTCTCTYTYTTTTTTTAATTGTAGTTTTTACTGTAAGGTAGACACCGCTTGAAGTTTAACAATCATTTTAACAGACGGCAACAGCTTTGTAAAATGGAAAGCGTTAAGAACCCACCAGTTTGCATCAGAAGTTAAAACACTGCAACCCTTGCAAAGGCACTAATATGCACAGCGCATATATTTTTTTCAAAAATGTAAACGACAAAACTCCAGACCTTGGCTTTGTGCGACACAGGTGCAGTTCAGGTTCAAAAGTCACGAGCTYTACGGTATCAGCGCGACGTGGTGGCACTCTGGACCGAGTTGCAGTTTTGCTGCACGCAGCACGTTCCCAGTTTTCGAGATACCGCAGTTCTCATTCCCGTCGTCCTCCCGCAGCGCGGACACAGCTCCCAGGCGGCAGCGAACTCGGGATAGCGACGCAGATCCCATGGYGGATAAGGCAGCCCGTGTACATTTGAGCACTCGGAACTGGCTGCTCACCCCTAGCTATTCCTGCCATTAACCCAGGCGATGCTGCCATCCATTCCCCCGGAGCATCCTTGGCAGGGCAGGAGCCAGCAGCGGGAAAACAGGAGGGCAGCAGCTCCTGAGGGCTCCGCTGCCACCTCCGCAATCGCAGTGTGGCAGCCAGGGGGCCGCGCTGCTCTTCCCGCGCTGCCCATCCCACCAGGAGCAGGATCCCCGCTCCGGGTGCCGAGGGACCCGCAGCCTGGGTTATGGTCTGCCCAACGCATCGGGCAGCTCCTCCGGGAAGAGGCAGGGGGGACTGAGGCAGGAGCCAGGCTGGGAGGCTCCAGGGGGAATGAGGACAACTCTCTCCAGAGGCATCGCTTCTCCTCCGTGCTCCGCGAGGATGAAGAGGGACCCGGGCACAGAGCCGACTGTAGCTCCGGGCAGACTCTTGACACACCGTGGYTGGCAATGGTGCAACGGGGCAGCTGTGACATGTCACTGGTGACAAATTCCTCCCATATTTTGAAGGGAAAAAGTGGGCAAGCTCCGCTTAGGAGAACCCAGAAACCCGAGTGAAAGGCTGCTCCTTTGTCACAGCCACTGGGAGGAGGAATGGGCTCCTGGCTGGAGGAATGGATCCCTGCACAAGGGGAGCAGAGAAAGCGAGATAGAAGAGCAAAGAGGTCATGATCAAGAGGCTGGATTGGGCAGAGGAAATTTCTACCAGTTCCTAAAAAAGCACAGTTGTTAAGTTTGCCACATTCTGGAATGGCTGATTAAGATGTTAAGAAGCCTAACTTGGTTTTTTTTTTCTCCTTCCCCCCCCCCAAAAATAAAGCTGCAAATATGTGTATCAGAAACATTCTCTGTGCCCTTTACTTCCCCCCTCTTTTTTTTTTTTTTATGTGTTAGTTTCCTTTTATATTCAAGACAAAAGATCAGACTTGAGCTTYTCCTCCTTCCCTTTTGCTCACCAGTTAACTCCACCTTCACTAAAACCTAGCAGACCAGTAGCCAGCACATCCTCGCAAGACTGCTGAAACTACAAGGAACGGGGCACAGGGAAGGGGACGTGCCCAAAGGAAAGCCTCGCGTGTATTTTGACTTCAAAGGTGCTCTCCTTTTCTGTCTCTAATATTGTTGGCCACAAGACTGAGTGCAATCCCACACCTTGTTCGACACGGGCTGCAACGGGAGCAACGCAGTCCAGCTCTGGCGGATGCTTTTGAAGGCCACTTTCTGTGCTTGAGCCTGCCTAACAGAGCGTGTGCTCAGGGCATGTGAGCTGGACTCCTTCCACGTTACACGGAACTGAAAATGGGCTCCGGCTACTAATGGCTGCTCCGTCCATGGGACCAGAGCTGAGCTGGTCCAAACTAAACCCCTACAAGTCGCGCAGTGAGGACGTCAGGTACCGCACACAACACATCACCTGCTCCACACATCTGCTCCTGCTGTGCCCTCTTACTTGTTAACGTACACATTGTATGATGCACTACACAATCCGATTTATTCGTTTATTTATTTTAAGGAATAAAATGTATTTGAAGCTAAGAGCTGGGAAAAAAAAGAGGCGGGACTGAGTGCTCTCTGGGTGGACGGATTTGACGGCTGTGACAGATCAGTGCTCCCTTACCCCTTTTCCTATCTCTTATCCGCTGAAATTAGTCAGCAAGGTTCACCTCGCCGTAGGTTCTCGACCGGCTCGTCAGCTGGGAAGGTGACAAGGACAAGCACTCATTGGGAGGGCCCTTATCGAGCCCCAAAGCCCTGAGGACGCAGCGGGCGAGGGGAGGCAGAGGATGGGCTATGGATAGCGCCGGGAGGGCACGGGACGGGACGTGTGTCACAGGGCAGGCGCCACGTGGCACCCRCGCCGTACGGACCGCGTTGGCCGGGCAGGACGCTGCTGTGCACGGGCACGAGGACACACCTGCCTGGTGCTGTTAGTCAGCAATAAGAACCTAAGGTCTAGATGAACTGCAGGGCCTTCTGCAGAGAGGAGACCTGCCTCCTCCCACAGAGGAGCAAGAGGAGCAACTCCAAACCCCTCTTCCCTTCTTCCCATAGCCGGAGGGGCTCCCTCCCTTCCCTCTGTCCTCCAAGGATCCGCAACAGCAACAAGCTGGGCTGCTCACTCCAGCAACACCAAAGTTACTCTAAGTCTTCCATGCTGACAAGAGGCATTTTCTCCTCTGTGAACACTAGGCCCTGATTATTAATACTGAAGAATATAGGCAGAGCACACGCACCAGAAGATACAYGTGATCTGTATATACTAGACACACCAGGGGCTTAAAATAAAAGGATCCAGACCCATGTTTTAAGCAATACTGCTCTTGATAGCATTGCCTAATTACAGCCTAATTGCTTCAAAGATTGTTTACACAAATTCTCACTACAGGCGAGGTATGAAGTTGGTTTTAAAATCCCATACCATCAGAGTAACAGGCTTCATTCTAGCTGCATAGTCTGCTCCAAAATCACAGGATGCACAAAAGTTGGTTCTTTGATTTAAAGCTGTGCATAACCCCCCACATCATTTTCTTCCTAACAGCCTTCACCCGTCCAGTGAGAAGTGCTGCCCATCAGGACCACTGCAAAGCCTCTTTGTTGCTCTTCCTTCTTCCTTCACTTTCGCTTGTTCTGTCCCATTTTAAACTCCTTTTTTTTTTTTTCCTCCTCCCAGTACTGGTTTTTAACAGTTTTAAATCACATCTTTTGGTTATTTCAGAGCATGACTAAGTGAATACCCTCTTTTCTAAAGCAGAAGAGTTCACTAAGRCTGTTTTTTTTCCAGTCATAATCCAGCTTTCTGCAGAAATTAATATGCTAAGACCAAAGTCCTTTACCATCCTTCCACCTTTCGGAGGGCTGTTCTTTAACAGCTTCTGGTGACATACTGAAGCGTGCAGCCCTGAAAACAGTTTTGGCAGAAAAACTGCATCGTGTAGATGGTGTGCACAGGGCGAGGAACACGCACCAACTCACTGTATTCCTCTGAAATTATTCCGCAGGGGTACATGCAGCCAGGCATCTGCAGACATCTGCAATGGAGGAAGTCATGGAGAAGCACCCTGCCCGTCCTAACACAACCTAACCACAATTTCTGCCTTTCATTTATACCTTATTGCACCCTGTGAAGCGGTCCTCAGTGCAAGCTGCGCTACGCACAGGTAGAGGGAAGGGCTCTCASTCTCTGTAGAAGGACTGCCAAGTGAGCTGCAATTAAATAAGCACTTCTTTTAGTGCCGGCGCCGAGCTTGGGAACCCTGCTCGCCCTCCTCTCGTACCCGGAGACTGCCTTAATACCRATTAACGGCCAAACCTATTGCCTTACTATGCATCCATTACCCACCAAACCTGGAGACTGCCTTAACACCGATCCATTAATCACCAAACCTGCAGATTGCCTTAACACGGATTAACCTGCAAACCTGGAGATTGCCTTACTMCGTATCCATTAACCACCAACCTGAGGATTGCCTTAATACTAATCAACCACCAAACTTGGAGACTGCCTTAATACCCATCCATTAACCACAAAACCTGGAGATTGCCTTAATACCAATTAAACACCAAACCTATTGCCTTGCTATGTATCCATTAACCACCAACCCTGTGACTGCCCGAACACGGAATAACCACCAAAGCCGGAGCCACCCCCGCCACCCGAGGGGGTCCCTGCAGGGCCCCACGCTGCAGCCCACATCCCTGCTCCCGAGACTCCYTCGCACAAGCCGCAAGGACTCCGCAGGACTCCTTGGGAGAGGGCTGCAGTTTGAGGCCGGGAGCAGAGGCCCCCGCGGCGGCTCCGTGTCCGGGCTGGCTCACAACCGGCTGAACCGGGCATCCCTTCCCATCGTGAAGATGGTCATTATCCACCATCCGCTTTGAAGAAACAAGGGATAACGCTGCCCACAGGGCACGGAGCGGCATGTGGAGCCACCGCGCAGCTCCGTGTTTATAGAAGCGGGAAGCAGCTCCAGGGTGTGCTCCCCAACGCGCCTGGAAGCGCCCACGTTCACCCCCACGCACCGTCCAGCCCCCTTTCTTCATCACGTCTCGTTAGACTCGTCCTCCGTGGGCTCATTCGACTAAGCCTGGAGCAAACCAGCCGCTTTTTCTGGTTTCATCTCTGCCGGGCAAGCAGGTTGAGTCAGCGCACGATCCGAGGACGGGCGGCAGGCGCGGGAGATGACAGGGCAGCACTTTCCCTGCTCGGCCGGGAGGAGCTGTCAGAAAACTCACGGSATCACGCACCTTTCTGCGTGCCTCATGTTGAGGGAAGCACGTTTCTTTATGAAGCACGTTTGGCCTAACCAGCATTCAAAGTTAAGTCCGAAAYGACCATCAGTTCAAGCCCCCGTATCCACACCTGAAGCGATGAATGCTCCTATTTGCCCTGAGCTTACACCGAGTGGACGAATCCCAACAGAAACGAGCCTGGTCCGGCCCAAGGCTACAGAGCGGCCCAGCTTTCCCTCCGACCCTGTTTCTCCTTTAAGGATTACGCTTTCAGGCGGCCAAGGCCGCTTTCTTCCGACAGATCACACGGCGGCAGCTGCACCCCTGCGCACGTAATTTCACTTGGGAGAAAAGCCTGCGTTTCCTTTCTGCCAAGTCACCGCCGTCAAAACTTCTCCAACGCCACGGGCGCCGCCAGGCATTCCCGCGGCCACATCCACGTTCAACCGGTGTTGTGGGCGCCCACAGGCTCCGCCGGTGCCTCAGCCGCCGGGGCAGGGCGCGCGCGGCGAGGCCGCCGTCCCCTCGCGCGGCGGCTCCGCCACCCGCTGCCCTCTCCCTGCGGCCGCCGGCCCCCGGGCCGGGCGGCGGGAGCTCCGCGCGCCCCGCGGCTCTGCCCGCCGCGCCCCCTGCCCGCCCTTACCCATGAGGATGGAGACGATGAGGCGCAGCGCCTGCTCGGACGAGCCCAGCGCCTCGGCGAGCCGCGCCAGGCCCCAGCCGGACGCCGCCAGCGCCATCTTCGCCGCCGGCCGCCCCGCCGGCCCCGCCGCTCCCCGAGCCCGGCAACGGCACCAGCCAGCGCGGCCCCCGCACCGCGCTCGGCCGCCCGCGCGCCCATTGGCTGCGCGACGCCGACCACGCCCCCGGGCGCCTCCCATTGGCCGGCTTATGGCAGGGGGCAGGGCCCTGCGCTCACTAAGGCAAAGGTTATCCCGAGAGTGGGCGGTGCCGCGGGGTGCCCCTCTTAGCCAATGATTGGAGAAAGCGCCTCTGTGGGCGGGGCTCGGCCGCGCCGGRGGGGGGCGGCACCGGGGAGGCGAGGAGGAGCTCGCGTTGCCATTGGCTGAGCCGGGACAGGAGAGAGCCGCGCAGGGAGGGGTAGGAGCCGGGGGCGGGGCAGGGGTTACTCGCGGGCACGAGGCGAGTGGCGCGCGCGCCGCGGCCGCGTGCGCGGAGCTGGCGGCCGTTGGCGGCCGTTGGCGGCCGTTGGCGGACGTTGGGACGTGCTCGGGAGCCCCCTGGCCGCCGTGGCGGCCTTGAGGCCCACCAGGCAGCCCGGTGGATGCGCTGAGGCCAAGCTCCTTCGCCTCTGCGGCCCCGAGGGGCTCGCGCCTCTCCCACCCCGTGCCCAGGGCTGTATCCCGTGCCCAGGGCACTCAAACCCCTGTAGTCACCATGTCTGTGCAGCCTTTTCTAGAGCCATGACTCATCCTTTGGAGGACTTTCTCCGGGGTGATTGCCTTCATGTGAACAGAGCGAACAGAAGGGCATCTGAGCACGCRTCTAGTCTAAAGTTCTTCCCAGCAGAAGCTCCAGATGTGGAGCTGCAATCCATGTGCTGATGCTCTTCCATTTAGCTGTCTTTTCATTTTGCTGCTGGGTCATTCACGTGGGCAGTGTTGCTCCAAGCAGGCTGGAGAGGCAATCGTCCKCTCTCAGAAAGGGGTTAATGAGAAGAGACTTTTGGAGGGCCCTGGTCCAACTTTTGGGCTGACTCCARAGCTAGATTGGACTCCAAAGCTAGATCCGATTGCTCGGGACCTTGTTCAGGCAAGGGACCTTGTTCAGGCAAGTTCTGAACCTCTCCAAGAGTGGAGATTTCCCAGGCTCTTCAGTCACCTGTTCAGAGGCCTTGACGAAATATATTTTCAGAATTTCTTTCATCGCAAAGTTATGTCCATTGCCTCCTGCCCTCTTGCAGCRCTGCTCTAAGTCTCTATCTCCATTGTCTTTATAATCAGCCCCTGTCACTAGCAGCAGCCATTACACCCCACTCAGTCCGACTGGGAAAGAGACTGACAGACACATAGGCCTCCATTTACTTAGGAAAGCGCTCTAAAAATCTGAGTGCATTACTGCTCTTAGGTTTCCTCTAGCCCTTTTCCAGACTGAGCAGACTCAGATCCCTCTGCATTTCCATGCACAGCGGGTGCTCCAGCCCTCTGTGCTCTGTATAGGCCCTCCCCTGGACTCTGGCCAGTTTGCTCACATTTCTTTTGTGCTGAGGAACCCCTAGCGAACCGAGCGTGCCAGACACAACTTTATCAGTGCTGTACAGAGGGGAACACTCACTTATCTTGACCTGTTGGATTTTGTTTGTGCAGGCAGCCTGTGGTTAGCTTCAGTGCACTGCTGGCCCATGTACAACCCGCAGTCGGCCAGAATCCTGAGGAGCTTCTCTGCASAGCTGCTCTTTAGTTAGTTGGTTCCCAGCCTGTAGGGGTGCAAAGGATTCTTCCGTCTTGGGCGCAATTCTGGCAATTCGGTTCTTATGTGGTTGTGGGCTGTGATCATGTGCTGGACACAGGTGTTGACAAGCATTCATTTTACTTTAAATGATTTTTTATTTCTCGTGTCCGCTGTTTCTTGCCTGTGGTTTGCATCGTGACAAAGGTGGAGATCTGGAGGAGGAAGAGGAAGTGGTCTTGAAAAAAAAAAAAAAAAGAGTTTCAGCGTGTAATGGGGAATACAGCAGAAGATTGCAAGCATCCAGGAAGTAGAATACATAAAGAATGGAGTGAATGAAGGAATGGTCTGACAGGAACCTTGCCGGGTTAAAAAACAAACAAATGCAATGTCTTGCACTTGAGATATAGAAAAAAATAATAGGTGGTTGCAAAAAAGGAGGATGCAGATTCAGAGTTACACAGTGAAACAAGAGGTATTGGTTCCACGTTACTGCAAAGGAGATTTAAATTGGACAGAAGGGTGGTTTGTCTTGGGAACAGGTGCTTGGAGAGACTAGGAATCTCCATGCTTAGAGATATGTATAAGTCACCTGTACAAGGCTCTGAGCAAATTGGTCTGGCTTTTAGAGTTAGTTCTGCTGCATGTGGGGAGCTGGAGCAGAGACCTTCACAGGTCCCTTCCCGCCTAAGTCTTTCTGTATATCTACAGAAGTTAAGAAAAATGGAAATTAAGAGTAAGCAGTGCAGTAAGGAAATGCACAAAGAAGGGCAGATATTGACCTTGATCTCCAGAAGTCCTTTGATGGCATATTTAGAAAAGCAGAGATGTGGAGTGTCAGGCTTAGATGGTCATTTTGCAGAAGCAGGGGTTTAAAAACCCTCCTAGATATCTAGTACCTCAGTTTAGAGTTTACAGAGTTTACAGAACCGTGTTTGTTCGACTTAATTGGTCATGGTTAACCAAGCTTTTTTGCAAAGGTTAAGAACTAACTGAATAACATCTATCAGTTTTGTGTTTAATTTCATGTTTATGTTTTTTAGTTTGTTYTCCTAAGTAAATGAGGCCAATATGAGCATATTTACTGTCAGTATTTTTCCTAGTCAGATTTGCCAAGGAATGAACATCTCAAAGGTACCATATTCATTCAAGTTTCGTGAAAAGAAAGTCCTGTAGACACTGTCACTGAGAGAATCCATTTCATATTCAATCTTTTTCTCCTATCTGATAAAATGAAATTAACTAACAGATTTGGCACTTCTTGTGGGATTACAGTCTCTTAAAATCTATCCTGCTGTACTTCGCTGTTGTCTGACATTCTTATAATTTCATTAAAGTGATGAGAAAATTCATGTAAAAAAGATAATTGAGGGCAGTTAAGTATTAAGAAGCAGATATGACTTCTGGCTCAGTAAGTCTCTTAAGCTTTAGTTCACTAGAAAATCATAGAATCATAATGGTTGGAAAAGACCTTCAAGATTGAGTCCACTCGTAAGCCCTTCAATACCCTCCCTGCTAAACCGTGCCCCCAAGTGCCTTA